AGACAGACAGACAGACAGATAGATAGATAGAAAGAAAGTCAAATGATAGATAGACAGACAGACAGACAGACAGACAGATAGATAGATATATAGATAGATAGATAGAAAGAAAGTCAGATGATAGATAGATAGATAGATAGATAGACAGACAGACAGACAGATAGACAGATAGATAGATAGATAGATTGTAGGGGTGTGAATCGTCACTGGTTTCTCGATTCGATTCGATTACGATTACGATTATCAAGTCAACGATTCGATTCGTTATCACGATGCATCATGATTATATCAAATTTATTTTGTGCATTTTTATTAAATTATATAAGCAGGCTACTTTTAAAATAATTACAAATTAATAATAAATTTAAAACAATTGTTAAGATCCAAATAAATACAACTTCAAAACATACAAGCAAATATAAAGTAATAAAGGGGGATAAAAGACAATTACAAATGATAAGCAAAAAGTACTTTCAGTATCTGAGAGTGCTTTAAGTGCCCGAAAGTTCACAGGCAATCATAGTTATGGGTTTTTCTTTTTTCCTCAGCATTATTGCTGTTTAATTATTACTGATGAGATCATAGACAGTGGCTGAATGCACACTGATGCACAGATCTATTTCCACATATCAGATGTTTTGTCCTGTTCTGAAAACATAACTGACTGTGTTTACATCAATTTCGTATTCTGAGATGCATTTAACCGCAGCCGCGATTAAGCTCCAGGACAAACAAACACAAAGCAAACATGAAAGTCTGTGAGTACGTGAGTTTCGTGCATCTGATACATACTGCATTCCAAATGGCAGACATGAAAGCACATCTAAAGTAAAACACTGAAATAATGGCGGGTGGAAGCACACATCGCTTTCACACGAAACACACAGCGGCTTGAGTGAGCGGCGGCCAGCGGATTTGACGAAGGAGGCTTGCGGCAACCACATGTGACGACCCCGGGCTGGACTCTGTTTCGTCCACGGTGAAAGCCGATCCGGCGATCCACAGCACAAAGTTGTAGTATTTCCTCAGCGACCAGCACGGATCAGCTCTAGGCATGACGAAGCGGATATCGTCCTCTTTTGGAAGGCCAAACAAAGTAGTTTCGCTTTCACAACGAAACACACAGCGCCTTCACGACATGGCGGCGGCGGCAACAATACTACAGCGAGAATAAAAGTTACTTCTTTCTTTGCGTGAACATTTGGGCGGTGTTATGCAAATCTTCCCACACAGTGACGTAGACATGTGGGGGCGTGTTAGAACGAGGCGTTTTAGGAGGGCGTGGACAAGTCTTAACTTTTATAAAGAATATCTCTTTGGATTTGAGACTTTAGTCTTTGCAACTTTACAGATCTTCTTTATGCACCAAGAGCTTGTAACACTCCAAAGAGAAAGGAAAAATTGAAATCGCATCATATGACCCCTTTAAAAATAGTGGGTGCATTTTAAAATACTTGCGGGACAAGCGCTTATGCGAATGACGTCAGTACGCTATAATCGATTATGGTCTATTACTGCATTATGAACGATGCAACGATTAATTTCAACACCCCTAATAGATAGACAGTCAGATATAGACCATCAGAGAGATAGACGTTAGATAGATACATAGATGTTCATTACCTTTGTAACCCCGTTGGCGTAGATGGGGATCATGTTCTCTGCCCCCTGTTTGACCTTCAGTTCGATGTTGAGCTGTCGCTCCAGAGCCTTAATCCTGTCCTGATTGGCTGAGGAGCGACCCGGCGTCCCGAGAGGCTGAAGGTCATCTGTGGGTCAAAGACAGGGTCAAACATTCATCTGGGGTCACGGTCTAACAGGGTTATGAAGGCTGTAAATATATACATCAATTTGCCGTATGTTCACAACAAAACCCATCATCCCTGAATATTCGTATTCACTCATCAATAATGAAGAATTTTACATTAAACTCATTTCTTACATGCAGCATTAAAGGTAAGATAATAATTATGACCCCTGACCTTTGCTGTCATCGTGACCCTTGACCACGATGTGGGCGTCCAGCTCCTGCAGTTGAGTGTGGAGCGAGTCCAGCTTGCGGCTGGAGCTGCGTAACTGGCTCTCCACCTGCTGGGCGTTGCGTTTATCAGTGGTGGCCCGCCGCAGGTTCTCCGCACCTGCTTTTATCTTCAGCTCCTTCCGGATCTCTCTCCGGATCCTCTCTCGCTGCTCGTCCAACCGCTGCTGCACGCTGGAGTCTGAGAAATCAGAGTTCTGGTCCAGTCCCAGCTGCTCCAGGACGGACAAGCCATCCGAATCCTAGGAGGGGTCAAGGGTCAATGCTGGCAGACTGAGGTTATGTATGGATAGACAGAACAATAGATAGAATGATAGAATGACAGAAGGATGAATAGACAGACAGACAGAAAAAAAGATGGATAGATTGATAGACAGACAGAAAGAACCAGACAGACAGATAAAATGATAGATTGATAGATAGACAGAATGAAAAAGATAGAAAGAAAGAGAGAGGTAAAACAACAGAACGATTGACAGACAGAAAGAATGAGACATAGATATATTGATAGATAGAAGGATAGACAGACAGAAAGAATGACAGAGATGATAGATAGACAGAATGACGGACAGATAGAATGATAGAACCGACAAAGAGACAGACAGATTTAACGAGAGAGGTAGAACAATAGACAGACAGAAGAGATAGATAGAGAGACAGACAGAATGAGAGAGACAGATAAAATGATAGATAGACGATAGATAGATGGAGAGAAAGAATGAGAGAGAGAAACAGAATGATAGATATTTAGAATGATAGCTAGATAGAACGATAGATAGATAGATAGATAGATAGATAGAACGATAGATAGATAGATAGATAGATAGACTTTATTGATCTCACATGGGAAATTAAGTTTCAGATGAAGCATCAATGAAAATACATGGAAGTACAGTAAATATGTGTGTAGTTTCTGTAATTTGATTTTCAATGCAATTATAACAATGATGGTTTCACAGAAATGACTTCGAAAGAAAAGTGGAATAATCAGTTCTGCTTGTGAGTATCTAGTTTACTTGCTACTAAGTTCCTCAAAAAAAGAAAAAAAAAAACCTCTGAAAATCCAAGTATTAATGACACAGATCTTGCACTGCGGCAGTAAACATAACACTGTTTCCTGGACTGATATAAACCAGAGCACACTGATTTCAAAAGACTGAAACAAAGAGTGTGATGTCTGCGTCTGAGACTCTTCACAGACCCGGGGTCAGTGACGGCAATGCTGTTCATTGATTCAGTATGAGCAGAAATAACTCCCTCACAGCAGGACATAAACACACCACCTGCTCTTAGACCAAAACCACTGACATCTCAAACCTCGTATGGCAGTCCAGACCAGATTCTGAGTGTGTCTGATAGACATGAAGAGAAATCAAATATAAGACCTGTGAATGCCATTCATTAAATCAAGTGTCTGTATCTGCGGTGACTTTAATGCTTTTTAGTGCAAGCATGAAGTCTGAACTGAAATATTTGGCATCAGTAAACATTTCGGCGGACCTGAGGCAGTGAGGGAACTAAAGAGTGCAAAACCTTTTTTTAAATATATATATATATATATATATATATATATATATATATTTATTTGATCAAAAATACAGTAAAAACAGTGAAATATTATACAAATGTTCAGCATCATTACTCCAGTCTTCAGTGTCACATTATCCTTCAGAAATCATTCTAATATGCTGATTTGCTGCTCTAAACATTTATTATTATTATTATTATTATTAATGTTGGAAATAGTTGTCCTGGTTCATATTTTTGTGGAAACGTTGGGGAAAGAAAGAATTAAAAAAAAAAATAATAATAACAATGATACTTTTATTAAAAAAAAGTTTTTTTAATCAATATGGGTTTCCACAAAATTATTTTAAAATATATTAAATATATTAAAAATAGATGAATATATTAAACCAGTTATTTTAATCTGTAATAATATTTCACAGTATTACTGTTTTTACTGTAATTGATCAAATGGCTTTGTTGTGCATTTCCAAAAGAACAAAAAACACCTTAATTATTCAAAACTTTTATATCCAGTAGTGCATTTATTTGATATATTTTTAATTTCATCTTAATGCCGTTTTTACATTTTACATTCATATAGCACTAACTTTATACAATACGAATTACTGAAAAGCAGATTTAGAATCAAATTAATCACAAGAGAGTCACAAAAAGTTTCAGCAAGCAATAATTTCTTAAATACAAAAAGGCTCAACAGAGGATCATTTAAGTGCATTTAAATTCATCTTTGCAACTTTAATTGAAACTCCTGTTGTAGTCTTTGTCAGTGATCCGTCATGAGTCAGCAGCAGTGTGAGGAGCAAAGGGCAGCTCTGCGGTTCAGTGCTCATGCTGAGGAAGTTAGAGACATCAAGTGAAACCTTATAATCATGGATAAGGTAACTGACTGTTGACTCGCAAACAGAAGTTCTCTTTTGTGTTTTGTTTGCGTTGGCCGATACCGACACAAGAGACAAAAGAATCGATCAGACTGAGTTGAACTGTAATCAAACATCGCCCAGCTGAAATATAACACACTTCGCGCAGCCACTTAAAGACTAAACACACGTCTGGCAGTGTAAATAGAGCAGGTAGCAGACTCAAGACACCGCAGAAACATTCAGCTGACAAGAGAGCGAACGACACACACAAACATTGTGACTCAGTAAGGAAGTTCAGCCGTGAGCAGCTCACTTACAAAACACACACATAAAGCATGTAGGAAAGAAAAACCACAATGAAATCTCTTTCAAATCTCAATAGTTCCTTCAAGTTCGCAGGAGTTTTGCTGAACTTTCCTGATGTTCCTCCTTTCAAAAGGACCCAGTTAATCGCACATTTGTGACTTTGGACCACAAAACCAGTCATAAGGGTCAATTTCTCGAAACTGAGATTTATACATCATCTAAAAGCTGTATAAATAAGCTTTCCATTGATGTATGGTTTGTTAGGATAGAACATTATTTGGCTGAGATACAACTATTAGAAAATCTGGAATCTGAGGGTGCAAAAAAATCTAAATACTGAGAAAATCGCCTTTAAAGTTGTCCAAATGAAGTTCTTAGCAATGCATATTACTAATCAAAAATTAAGTTTTGATATATTTACATGATTTTTGGCATAAAAGAAAAATCAATAATTTTGACCCATACAATGTTTTGTCGGCTATTGCTACAAATATACCCCAGCGACTTAAGACTGCTTTTGTGCTCCAGGGTCACATTTATCTCCTCTAAAGTTTCAGACAAGATCTCAATGTCTAAAATTAGCCACGATCTCAAAAGTCCGAGATCTCAGTGTGGACACATGAAGGTATAAACATTTCAAATGGATCTGAGCTGCTCTCCATGTTACGTTTAAAGCTCTACTCAAGTCAAAATTGTGAATAAAACAAAGATTATTGGGCGTATGTTTTACAAAACACGGTAACACTTTATTTCGATAGTCCACTTTAGACATTCTATTAACAGTAAGTAACTTTGCAACTACATGTCAACTAGCAGTTAGTAGAGTATTAGTAGACTGTCTGCTTAACACTTAAGACTATCTTCTAACACTTTCTTTGTCAACTTATTCTACTAACCCTAAACCTACCCTAACAGTCTACTCTGAGAGTTAGTAGACATGTAGTTGCAAATGAATGAGAATTAGTTGACATGTAGTTGACATGTAGTTACAAAGTTACTTATAGTTAATAGAATGTCTAAAGTGGACTATCGAAATAAAGTGTTACCCAAAACACTATTTCAGTCTCTCATGTTTAATTCAACATGTTACTTGCTGTTTCTTTATAATTATTTGTGAAATTTATTAGCAATTAATTTGAAATCCTTAAACCAAATTATTATCAGTATATATTCCTATTTGACTCATTTGGGTCTGAATCTTATGTATTTAAATACACATTACTGGTCTATTGTGAATGATCCATCAGATCACATTTCTAATGCAATAAAGTTTGTCTTCATACTTTGAACTTTCTCCTCCTCTGCAACGACTTTCCTTTTCCTCTCATGTCATCAATTCATCTTATTCATCAGCCACCTTCACGCAAAGACATGTTCACCATCCAATCATTTAATCAGAATTTTTTTTTCTTTATCTTTATATCCTGTTTCACTCAGAAACATGTCTCATTACGGAAGTCGAATGTCTTGTGAACACCACTAAGCTCTGAGCAGCATTAGTTTCACTACAAACACAGTTCAGAAACATCACAAATGCAAAAACACAACAGTTATAAACCATCATCATCACCACGATCTTTGTCTCGCAAAAGTTTAGTTCAGGCCTTGAAAGAATAAATTCTGTCATCCTCATGTCGTTTCAAACCTGTAAGACTTAAGAATAAAACAGAACATAAAAGACGACATTTTAATAAACGTCTAAGTGTTTTTTCACCAATAGGGCCCAATAACTAAAAAAAAAATATATATATATATATATATAAAAAAAAGAAACTTATTTTAAGTTGGTTTACGTTTTTTCCATTTAGTTTAAGTACTAAAATGACAGACTAAAACTGAAATAAATGTTAATAAAACAGTGACACTTTACAATAAGTTCCCATTAGTTAATGCATTAGCAATGAGCAATACATTTCTGACAATATTTGTTAATCTTTATTAACTTCAGTTGATAAAAATACAACTATTAGTTCATATCAGCTCAGGTCCGTTAAATAATATTAACAGATACAACTTTTGATATGAAAAATGTACTAGTAAATGTTGAAATCTGCTATGATTTCAAATCACCTGACATCAAAAGATCAATAAACGCTTTCAAAGTATTTTTCATTGTTAGTTACTTAATATAGTTCACTAATGCTAACAAATGGAAGTATTGCCAAAAAAAACCACACATTTAAAATAATAACAATAAAAAATTAAATAAATGACAAAAACACAAAGTTATTAAAACTTTAACTAAAATAAAAAAAAAAAATATATATATAAATATATAAAAAAACTAACTCAAAATATTAATACATAAACAATAGTATATTAAAGATACTAAAATATCTCCATTCTTTAAAATATCCTCTTTTATGTTCTAAAATAAAAAATAAAGTCATACAGGTGTGGAACGAGGTTTTAGGTGAATAACAAACTGCAGATCAGTGCCATTCAGACAGTTCAATGTGAACTGAGCAGATTTTGAGCTCCTACCACATGTTCGGCCTCCGCTGGGGCTGGGGCTGGGGCTGGGGCTGGGCTGGAGGGAAACTCCTCCAACGAACAATCTCCCGCATCTCCTTCACTGTCCATCACCTCCTCTCCTCTCCCGTTCTCTTCAGACCATACACTGTTCTGTCTGTTATTAGAGCCACTGACACCACATAAAGCCATGGCTTCCGCTCAGAGAGAACGGCTGCAACAGCTTCCTGTTCATCTCTACATGATGACACACAAGAGACGTTTGCACAGGAACACACACACACACTTGTGCACGTGGATAGCTCGCTTTTGAAATCTCTCGACACAACTTCCTGCTCAGAGACAAGCTCTGCAGATTGGCACCATTACAAGTGTGTTTTAATATGCAGTATGATATTTTTGTGAACTCTTGTGACTTCTCGACACACCTGCTCAGAGACAAGCTCTGCAGATTGGCACCATTACAAGTGTGTGTTTTAATATGCAGTATGATATTTTTGTGAACTCTTGTGACTGTTCTGAAACAAAGAGGAAACGAAACCATTCAAAAACACACACACACACACACACACACACACACACACACACCAAACACACTTTTTTAAGGCATGCAGTCTTAAATTCACTGCAACTGAAATACCGTTTCTAGAATATAGAACATAATGAATAATGTTCCCAAAGGCCATCCGAGATGTAGATGAGTTTGTTTCTTCATCAGATTTGGAGAAATGTAGCATTGCATCACTTGGTCAGCACTGGATGCTCTGCAGTGAATGGGTGCCGTCAGAATGATGTTTTTATCAGCTGTTTGGACTCTCATTCTGACGGCACCCATTCACTGCAGAGGATGCATTGGTAATATAATGCTACATTTCTCCAAATCTGATGAAGAAACAAACTCATCTATATCTTGAATGGTCTGAAGGGAGTAAATATTCAGCAAATATTCATTTTTGGATGTTCCTTTAATGTGTGTGTTTATCCATATAAAGGCACAGGACTTGTGGTCTCTACTGTCCTCAGATGGTTCTGGCTACAACATCTAGTGATGCAAAGCAGAGAAGTGAGTTATTACTGTATCAAGCTGTTCTAAAGAAAGAGATGATCTATGTTCTGAATATAAATATGATCGAATTTATGATCAGCACTTTAATGTCATGCATCTTTCACCTCATGTCCAAATTTGACCAGGTTAAACTGAGCGACTACATTCCGAAATGACAGTGGAAAGCTTCCCGTAGCGTTTCACAGGGTCTGTAAGGCTCCGCCCACGATGCCCCGCCCACAAATCAGACTGACAGCGTAACGTTCAGGTATTCCGGCCTGGAACGTTTCCCAGAAGCCATCCGACTGCTGTGTTTACAGACAACATTACACAGGAACCGAATGAAATGAGTTCACTTTGAAAAACAGACAGAGCAAAGCAAAGCCACTGAGGTACACAGGTTTCTTTTTTTTTTAATCTGTATGTAGGATTTAACACTTTCACAAAAATTTACTGTATTTTTAACTGTTTCAACAACTGTAATCAACTGTTTCTGCAACTAAAAAAAATGAGGAGGTTAACAATAGAAAATTATTACAGAGCTACAGTTAACCCAAAATTCAACTTTGATATCTGACTGGGGTACCCTAGCAACGCCCAAGCAACCATCTATAACACCCAGTAACTGCCTAGTTACCACCAAAAACACCCTAGCAGCCACCAAGAATTTGGATCCACCCAAAACACTCTTGCAACAAATTAGCAACCGCCTGAAACACCCTAGCAACTTCCTAGCAATGCCCTAGCAACCATCTATAACACCTATAGGGCCCTATGATTTCCATGATGCATAAAACACACTCAGAAAAACAACAACACAGAATTTCTGAAAAACGTAAAACATTTATTATTGTTATTATTATTATTACTGAATTTAAATTATTATTAAAATTAGTTAAAACAGCATTTAGGAAAAAATCATATAAAAAAAAAAATAATAATAATTTTTTCATAGGATCATAGACCTAGCAACTGCCTAGCTACCACCAATAACACCATAACAACTGCCTAAGCCCTAGCAACTGCCTAGCTACCACCAAGAACACAATAGCAACTGCCTAGCTATCACCAAGAACACCATAGCAACTGCCTAGCTACCACCAAGAACACCCTTGCAGCCATAGATGTGTATAGGTAGATTCCTCATTCGACCGATCCAAGCACGTAGACGCATCCACCATCTTGGAACATTGACAATGTCGTCACAATAAAAATCAATGAGTTTCAAGATGCAACAACATTGTGCAGCATCTGGTTACAAAAACCGTCTTAATTAAAATTCCTGAAGAAACTGGATAAACTTTCACAGGTAAGAATATGTTTGTTTTTAATATCTATTAACTCAATATTACAGGTTTTTAAACTACAGTACCTTTTAAATGCCTTGTTAGCTAACGGCTTTGCCTTGTTGTATTGTGTTAATTTAGCAAAAGCATCTTCTGAAGTCTACTGAAGATATATATTATTCACACATGTGTATAACTACAGTTACAGTGCAGATGCACGGCCTTGACATTCCAATATGGCGGACGGCTTAAGCATAGCGGCCCATAGAAACATGAGGAATCTACCTATACATATCTATGCTTGCAACTGCCTAAGCCCTAGCAACTGCCTAACTACCACCAAGAACATCCCATCAACTGCCTAGCAACCATATTGTAATGCCCTAGCAGCCTCCCAGTACACCCTAGCAACCACAACAAAGCCCTAGCAACTACTCAGAACATCCTATCAACCACCTAGCAATGCCTTAGCACTGCCTAAACACACACCCATAGCAACTCCATATCAGCGCAAACACAATGCTCCAGTTTAATAAAATGAAACCCCAGCAACAAGCTCCAAATATCAGGGTTTGTTTTACTTTTTTTATATCGTGTATCATGGGTTTTGTGCAAAGAGGATCGGATTTCAAGAGATCTGAATGATTGCTAGTCCACACGTCTCACTGAGTGAAAACTACACCTGATCAATGAAAGGCACGTGTGGACGAGAGACACTAAACAGAGAGAGAGAGAGAGAGACAGGAAGTTATTAGTGAGCGTTGAGTGGACTGATCCATTTCTCCTAGTGATTTTGGCAGCAACAACTATCAACTTAAATGTAATAAAAACTGAATTAGCAGAAGGACTCTTGCTGCTGAGAAAGACAAAAATCCTTTGAACGGATCTCAGAGAACCAATCAAATCACACTAAATCTACCTCAACACTAATCCGTGCATCAGTTTTAACATACAGTATATATATATATATATATATGTGTGTGTGTGTGTGTTAGTCTGTGTGCATTTATGTATGTATATATATACAAAACCCAGAAGCTCCGAATATCAGATGCTGTGTGTGTTTAAGTTTAGCATGAAGCTTCAAACCTTTTAATTATTTTAATGTCGACGTGAAACGCAAATGCATTTTACTTCCATAATGTGACACATTTCAGAACAAAACCATATATTTACTGAAGAAAAAAACAGACAGGACTTGATTTGAATCGATTGAATGGTGAAACATCTCTTTATGAGAGCTGGTTGAAAAAATTAGATTTAAAAAAAAAAAACTTTTTTTTTCTGATGAATCAATAACAATAACACTACTCTCTCAATACAATTTTAATAAAGTCCATTTTGATTCTACATTTGAACATTTGAGATGTAAAAGCTTCAGTGACGATCAGCGTTCAGAAAGCAGACACAATCATGACTGTCTGTGAAATCACAAGACATTTCAGATGAAACTGCTGCACACAGATGTATTATTCAGAGTCACATTAAGAGTCACTTAAGAATTAATGTGTGTGCGACCACCGTCAGCATCTGCACACACACACACAGACACACACAGACACACAGACACACACACACATAATTACATTGGTTACATTTTTGTTAAACTATCTCTTTAAGACAAGACAGTACAGACTTTTAAATTTTTTTGAGGTTTTGGACTATTTTGCTTCCATAACATGTCTTCTTTCAGACTAGAGGAAAAAATAAACACTTAAATGTGTATTTTGGATGTTTTTTTATTACACTTTATTTATTTGCATGCAAGACAGTACAGACTTTTTAATTTTTTTGAGGTTTTGGACTATTTTGCTTCCATAACATGTCTTCTTTCAGACTATACACTTAAATGTGTATTTTGGATGTTTTTTTATTACACTTTATTTATTTGCATCTGTAGATTTCAATTACAATACATATCTTTAAAGTCAGTTTCTCAAAATGAGTTTGTTTCTCCACTTCATCAGCACTTACAAACACCAAACTTTTAACAGTTTTATTCCTCTCTATATTGTGAAGGTTTTTACTGAAGGGTTTGTTCATATATAATTCGCTCTGAATTATATAACCATTTATTCCTAAAACATCCTGTTTTCTGCTTTTCTGATTTAAAGCATGATAAAAATAGAAAACCACAATCCTCTCATTAAAAAAAACATTTAACTCTAATATGTGACCCTGGAGCACAAAAGCAGTCTTAAGTCGCTGGGGTGTATTTGTAGCAATAACCAAAAAAACATTGTATGCGTCACGGTTCGAAAGAGGCGAAGACTCAAGTGCAGGCAGGCAGTCTTCATTTATAACTCACAACAAACAAACAAACAATTGGAGCCTTGTGAGCGGACACCGCCGCCTGGGGGGAACTGTGAGTGTGCGCCGCCGCCTCAAGGGGATCCTGAGCGGGCACCGCCACTTTGAGAACATTGTGAACAGACCCAGCCACCTCGGGAGGATCGTGAGCGACATCAGCGGCGGATCCTCCACGCTGCGTCTCAGCCTGGGCTGTTCAGAGAATGACCCCCAGAACCTGGAAGTGGCCGGCACGACCTGAGGAGGTTCTGGAACGGCAGCCCAGACTGGGAGGGGGGCACCCTCCAGCAGTTCCACCTCCCTTAAATAGATGATGTGGTCGACCATCTACCAATAGGACCACGTATCTAGCTCCCCCAGCTCCTCCCAGTTGACGGGCTCGTCTTGTCCTATCCTAACAAACCATACATCAATGGAAAGCTTATTTATTCGGCTTTCAGATTATATATAAATCTCAATTCCGAAAAATTGACCCTTATGACTGGTTTTGTGGTCCAGGGTCACATATGTCAACAAAAATCAAACAAGAAATTTGAACCTGGCTTT